AGGATATGGCTTCAAAAGTCTCATATTTCTCTCCTCTCTTCTCCTCCACATCTCTCTTCACCTGAACAACAGCACAAGATTCACTCATAACACAGAGGAGTCATTTTTTACGCCATTTGCTTGTCTCTATGGATAAGTTAGTTTGTCGGAAATGTTCCACAGTATTGCATTAAATATCTATCAATCTAAAAATGAACTAGTTCTATTTTGGGTTTGAGGACAATCAGTGCCCTTATTGCAATGCTGTGGAACTTTCCAGGAAAGCAATGTAGGCAGAAGATGTGTGGGGTGTGCCTTCAACAGAAAAGTTCCACAGTGTGGTTTTATGTGTGTGACACTTACAGAGTCACAGATGGCCTGCACCCCTGGGTCTGCACGTTGGGGCCTTCCGATGCCTCCTAAAACAGGCCCACGTGGACGAACAGGCCGTCTGATTTCCTGCCGCAAGTCAGAGATCTGGTCATCTGTGAAATCCTTAACCCCGCGGAGGTCGGGCCGACTGTTGGGGGAAGGCATTACATACAAAAAGAGCTCCAGATGTTTGTTGCCACCAACATGGACCTAAAGAAGCAAAAGATTCCAGGATAAACAAAAAGTGGTGACATTATTCACAACTGCTGAAAGGAACTGAAGACATAAGATTAATATGACAATTTTGTGTAGCCAATCCCAAACAAATAATGAAAAAGTTGACTATTGACTATCCTCAATCCAAGGTTTGACTACTGATTGGATTTGTCTCTCCAGTACCCTGGAATAGACCTTACTGGGGAGGCTGAGGAGTGTGATTCCCCTGCAGTTGGAACACACCCTCCCATCGCCCTTCTTAAACAGACAGAACACCACCCTGCTCTGTCAGCCCAGAGGTACTGTCCCCAACTGCCACGTGATGTTGCAGAGGCGTGTCAGTCAAGACAGCCCCACAACATCCACGGATTTAAGATACTCAGGACAGATCTCATCCATCCCCAGTGACTTGCCACCAAGGAGCTTGTCATCTTCAGCCAGGGTGATGGACGAGTCCACCTCCAAGTCTCCAGCCTCTTCTTTCTCCTTGAAATTGATTGAGGAGATCCTCAATGTATTCCTTCCATCACCCAGTGACATCCCCAGTCGAGGTCAACAGCTCTCCCCCCGCACTGTAAACAGTGTTGGTGAAGTACTCTCCTGAGGTGTTGGACGGTTTGCCAGAATTTCTTTGAGGCTGACTGATAGTCCTCCTCCATGGCTTCCCCGAACTCCTCCCAGCCCCGGGTTTTTGCCTCTGTGACTGCACTGGCAGCAGCTCACTTGGCTTACAAGTGCCACTGACAGAGGGTCTGCCAGACCTTCCCAACACACACTGACTATATGCTTGGGTCTGCCAGGCCTTTCCGGCTTCCTCCTCAAACAGTGGACCCAAGTCACAACCAGGCGGTGATCGGTGGACAGCTCTGCCCCTCTCTTCATCCGATTGTCCAAGACACGCAGCATGAGGTCAGATGACACGACAACAAAGTTGATCATCGACCTCCGGCCTAGGGCGTCCCCCCCGTCAAGTCACCACAGCCAGATGCTTGTGTCTGTGGACTGGGTCAATGACAAACCCGTCTATGACTGCCACCAAGTCCTCTGTGCACTTGACCCTTATGAATCCCTCTGCAGGTGGTGAGCCCACAGGAGGGTGGAGCAATGTTGTCCTTTCAGACTGAGCCCGGCCGGGCCCCAATTTTTTTTGTTATTTCATATTCCTAATATCATATCATATTTCATATTGCTAATTTCATATTCTTAATATGAAATTATTCAAGATTGGCTCCTATAACCTCAAGCTTTGGTGAGCTTCATTTGACTGTAGCCGAATGTTTTGGGTGACACTCTCTTAGTTCACTTCTTTCTACAGTCTATGAGTCTGACAAAGCCTCATACAGAGCAGAGCCTACAGTTAGCATCACACCCTCAGGGAATGTTGATGACATCAGCTGCAGAGTATCAATAGAAGCTCAAAGTGCATGTGACAGGTTTTCATGTTTTTTTAATCATGACTTTGTTTGCTGCTTAATTCAAAAATAAAACAATTGTAAAAACTGACCTTGACAAAGTAGTTGTATCCATATACAGTTTGTTTTCTTGTAGGATATGGCTTTGAAAGTCTCATATTTCTCTCCTCTCTGCGCCTCCACTTCACTCTTCACCTGAACAACAGCACAAGATTCACTCCCACTCAAACACTTAAAGGTGCTTCATGGAACTTTTCTAGTTTTTTAACTTAAGTTAATGCTTTTGCTGTTTCATTGGAAACAGTTTGCAGTGATCCAAAGTTATTCCTCACTTACCTTCTGCATTCAGAGCACCCTAATTATTCACCATGATGAGTTTATACGAGGTTGCCTCTCCACAGATCTGACCTGATGTGTCACGAGAAAAGTACCACAGTGTGGCTTTAAGTTCATGATACTTACAGAGTCACACAGGGCCTGCACCTCTGGGTCTGCAGGTTGGGACTTTCCGATGCCTCCAGGCATGAGCTCAGGCTCAGGATATTCAGGCATCATTATTTCCCGTCGTTCGGGTAAGTAACATACAACTGGTTGGTGGTGTATAAATCTCACACCTAACTGCTCCAGGTCAGAGATCTGGTCGTCTGTGGACTCCTGAACACTTTGGAGGACTGGCCCACTGTTGGTGTGAGGCAGCCCCACAAACACAACCAGCTCCAGATGTTTGTTCTCCCCAACGTGGACCTAAAGAAGCAGAAGATTCAAGGAGGATCAGAGAGTGTCACCGTTATTCAGTCCCAAAGATGTGACTGTTGTCATTTGAGAGGACTTTAAATCAGGAGATAAACTTGGCAAGATTGTGGAGCCACGTCCAAACAAATAATGTCAACTCTATAGGAGCTTAAAGTCTAATCATGACTTTGTTTGCTGGGGTAGTACCTGTGGTAATTACACATGAGGGTGATAGTTCGAATCTTTACGATTCTTATTGCCAAAACATCATCTGAATATTGTCTTTGGTTAATAAAAAATAAAACAATTGTAGGAACTGACCTTGACAGTGTAGTTGGTTCCAGCTACAACTTTGTGTCCTGTAGGATATGGCTTCAAAAGTCTCATATTTCTCTCCTCTCTTCTCCTCCACATCTCTCTTCACCTGAACAACAGCACATGATTCACTCATAATACAGAAGGTCGTTTTTTACACCACTTACTTGTCTCCATGGATAAGTTAGTTTGCCTGAAATGTTCCACGGTATTGCATTAAACACTATCTCTTTTTTATTAAAAGTCTCATAGAACATTATTTTCTGATTTATGTTATAATAATATTTCCTCATGAAAACATCCTCAGAGTTGTGTTTTTCTTTAATTTACACATGTTTAACACAAATCAGACATATTTGTGTGAATTTTTCTCTCAAACAGAAAACTCTGTTCCACCTTGTGATGCCTCTGATAATACAGGAAGTGCTCCACTGTGTTTTCCACAACTTCACTAGAATCATTTGGATGATTTCAGTCGTGGAATTGTCGATCTCTACTGAACTAAAAGTAAAAGGAGCTGTTCACTTGAAAACTACTACTTCATGACATCACAAGGTGGAACAGAGCATTTTGAGCTTTGGAGATGTAGACGATGAGAGGTAACATTATAACATGTGTAAAAACTCAAGAATCCATTTTCTGTAATACAGGACCTTTTTATAGGCCCCTCTCCACAGATCTGACCTGGTGCTTTTCTGTTTAGAAGAGTTCAATTCTTGCCTCACTACAGACACATTGTATAAGCAGCTCTTGAGGTCAAAATAATTCCACTGTGTACTGTCTGCATCCCATTATAAAGTGTTTTATTGTCAGAGAATCAGGAAGTGTGCTGTTATATTACTAGTCCTTCAGCCATTACTTACTTGAGGAGTAACTTTGGACCAGTTTGTAGAGTGTTTGTCCACTGACCCAAAAGTTGGCAGTTTGAATCCTGCTCTCAACGTAAAACATCACTGGCTGAGCCTCAGTGTCTATGTACACTGGTGTATGAATGTGTGAGTGTTTTTTTTATGTAAAGATCTATGAGTGCTTTGAAGGAGGAAAAGTGATGTATACAAATGTGACGTTTACCAACTGGTTTTGTTTTGGTTTTGAGGACAATCCGGTACAGCGCCCTTAATGCCATACTGGAGAACTTTCCAGTCAAGCAGTGTAAGCAGAAGGTGTGAGGGGCGTGCTCTCAATAGATAAGTTCCACAGTGTGGCTTTCAGTGTGTGATACTTACAGAGTTACAGATGGCCTGCACCTCTGGGTTTGCAGGTTGGGACTCTCCGATGCCTCCGACGATGAACTCCTGTGGACGAACAGGCTCCAAGGGAGTCTGAACCCCGCGGAGGACGGGCCTACTGTTGGGGGAAGGCTCTACATGTAACCAGAGCTCCAGATGTTTGTTGCCATCAACATGGACCTAAAGAAGCAGAAGATTCAAGGAAGAACAAAAAGTGGTGACATTATTCACAATTGTTAAAATAAATTGAAGACATGAAATCAATAGTGTGAAAAAGTGTGATGTCACTTCCGGGTCCATCAGCTGATTGACAATTAATTACAGTTTCCCCTTTTTTTAACAACAGCACATCTCATGCTAAAACCAGATATCAGTTGTTTAAAGTTAAAGAGGCTATAAGCATGGATCTATGGTTATAACTGTGACAGAAAGAGTACGAGGGAGGCTGAGGTAAGAAGCTAGACTAAACTAGTGTTAGTGGTGACTGTCAGTTAGTGAGATATACACACTGGTAATCCTATTATGATAGATTATTACTGCATCATTTACATATTTGAGAGAATTTGTGGTTGAACATGCGTTTTTGAAAGGTAACTGTCTCTGGTTTGAGGAATAAAGAACAAAACTAAAGCTAGAAATCTGCTGTGAAGTTTCTGTTTGGACCTGGACACTTAACAACTCTATAGCCCCATGGCCTCAGTCTGAAATAATGACATCATCACATCTAAAATATGAATGACACCTATTGATACCTTACGGTGACATCACACTGGGGGTGTTCTACATGTATCCCTAATGGGGGAATGTTTAGCAGTTACCATGGTGACACAATGCACACATTAGCAAACACTGCCAAAAAAAGTTTTAAGATCGTCTGAAAACTCCTGTGATCAATACAAGCGTTCATGGTCCTGTTTAGAAATTAGTTTGTTTTGTTTTTTTACGCCATTTTTCCATCCATCCATTTTTTTCTGCTTATCTGGGGCCGAGTTGCAGGAGCAACAGTTTAAGCAGAAACTCTCAGACTTCCTTCACCTCAGACACTTTGTCAAGCTCCTCCCGGGGGACCCCGAGGTGTTCCCAGGCCAGTCCAGAGACATAGTCCCTCAAGCATGTCCTGGGTCTTCCCTGGAGCCTCCTCCCGGTGGGAGGATTCCAGGAGGCATCCGGAACAGGTGCCCGAGCCACCTCAGCTGCTCCTCTCGATGTGGAGGAGCAGCGGCTCTACTCCAAGCTCCATCCGTGTGACTGAGCTCCTCACCCTATCTCTAAGGGAGCGCCCAGTCACCCTGTGGAGGAAACTAATTTTGACTGTTTGTATCGGCGATCTCGTCCTTTTGGTCATTACCAAGAGCTCATGACCAGAGGTGAGGGGAGGAATGTAGACTGATATTAAATCGAGAGCTTTGCCTTTTGGCTCAGCTCCCTCTTCACCACAACAGTCAGATACAGCGATTGCATCACTGCCGGCGCTGCACCGATCCACCTGTCAATCTCATGCTCCATTTTCCCCTGTGGGGCAATGAGCCCACACCAGCCTGCCGTCACTCCCCGTGGGCATGCAAGAGAAATGGCTCTGTGATCTGGTTGTCGAGGCCCCCGCCTTCGACTGTCACCCAGATCTCTTTGCAAGGGCCCCTTCTGGTTCCTCCTACGGGTAGTGGGTCCATGGGAGGAGGCCCCACATCATTCCCTCTGGCTGTGCCCGGCTGTGACCTTTTGGGGAAGATCCGGCCACCAGACACCCACCCCAGGACTGGCTCTAGAGTGGGGCCCCGGTGAGGCCACTCCTGGCCTTGTTCTTTTACTTGTCAAAAGGGTTTCTGAACCATCCCCTGGGACCTGTTTGCCTTGGGTGACCCTACCAGGTGCATGAAGCCCCCCACAACATAGCTCCCAGGATCCCTCCACCACGTTAATGTGGCCGTTCAAGAAGGTGCCATTTTGTAATTCCATATTCTTAATATGGAATTTGGCTCCAGATTTTCCCCTATAACTACAAGCCTTGGTGACCTTCATTTGACTGGCGCTGAATGTTTTGGGTCACATCACACTCCCTTAGTTCACTTTTTTCTACAGTCTATGAGTCTAACAAAGCCTCATAAAGAGCAGAGCCTACAGTTGGCATCACACCCTCAGGGAATGCTGACAACATCAGTGCATATGACAGGTTTTCACGTTTTTTGAATCATGATTTTGTTTGCTAAAGCAATTGTAGGAACTGACCGTGACATAGTAGTTGAATCCATATACAGCTTGTTTCTTGTAGGAAATGACTTCGAAAATCTCATACTTCTCTCTTCTCTTCGCCTCCACTTCACTCTTCACCTGAACAACAGCACAAGATTCACTCCCACTCAAACACTTAAAGGTGCTTCATGGAACTTTTCTACTTTTTTTTCTTAAGTTAATGCTTTTTGCTGTTTACACAGTTTGCAGTGATCCAAAGTTATTCCTCACTTACCTTCTGCATTCAGAGCACCCTAATTATTCACCATGATGAGTTTATACGAGGTTGCCTCTCCACAGATCTAACCTGATGTGTCACCAGAAAAGTTCCACACTGTAGCATTAAGTTCATGATACTTACAGAGTCACACAGGGCCTGCACCTCTGGGTCTGCAGGTTGGGACTCTCCGACGGACAAAAATCTACTCTCCTCTCTGTAGCACATGACTGGCTCTGGAAGTATAAGTCTCACAGGTTCCTGCCCCAAGTCAGAGATCTGGTCGTCTGTTGACTCATGAACACTTTGGAGGACAGGTCCACTGTTGGTGTGAGGCAGCCCCACAAACACAACCAGCTCCAGATGTTTGTTCTCCCCAATGTGGACCTAAAGAAGCAGAAGATTCAAAGAGGATCAGAGAGTGTCACCGTTATTCAGCCCCAAAGACGTGACTCTTGTCATTTGAGAGGACTTTCAATCAGGAGATTAACATGACAAGATTGTGGAACCACGTCCAAACAAATAATGACAAGGTTCAACATTTGTGGATCATAATTTGGAATATTTATTCTAATGTGAGTGAATCTCCCATAGAGTCATATAGAGCTGTTAAGAGATGATGTCACTTCCGAGTCCAACAAGAAACTTCACAGCTGATTTCTATCTTTGTTTTTGTTCCTTATTCATTGAACAATGACCTTTGAACTGTATCAAATATGTAAATGATGTAGTAATAATCTGTCGTAACATGGGATGACCAGTGTGTATATCTCACTAACTGTCAGTCACTGCTTATGCTGGTTAAACCTACTCTAGCTTCGTAGCTCAACCTCCCTCATAAACTTAAGTCACAGTTATAATCCACGGAACTACAACAGGAACTGGATAAGACATTCCTCTCCATCCCAGAGTGACAGACTAGTGGCCACTCCAGCTTCCAAAGACACAATGCATTGTTTTGTAATGTAATGTTAAAACATGAATGTTTTCACATTTTTAAATGGTCAAAGTGCCTAAAAGTTTGCTTTGTAAAATTTAGCCTAACTCCTCTCTGATTGGTCAGAGCTGGTCACACGGTGCATGTTTCTGACATCACACAGGTGGGAGGAGCTAGTCTGTGTTGAGGAAATAATGCAAAAGAAAAAAATATTTGGGGGGATTTTACACCAATGAGCACAGATCACTGAAAACAGCTCAACACTTCAACTCATCTTCCAATTCTTATTAAACTTTCATGTTATAACCGTAGATCTGTGCTTATAAACTTGTTGGCTTCAAACAACTGAAATATGTTTTTAACGTGACACGTGCTGTCGCTTAAAAAAGAGAGGAAATTGTAAACATCATTGTTTTCAATCAACTGATGAACCAGGAAGTGACATGACACTGAACAATATAGATGAACTTTATAGCTGAACTTTAAGCTCTATAGGAGCTTAAGATTCTTATTGTCAAAATATCATCAGAATATTGTCTTTGGGTTAATAAAAAATAAAACAATTGTAAGAACTGACCTTGACAGTGTAGTTGGTTCCAGCTACAACTTGTGTCCTGTAGGATATGGCTTCAAAAGTCTCATATTTCTCTCCTCTCTTCTCCTCCACATCTCTCTTCACCTGAACAACAGCACAAGATTCACTCATAATACAGAAGGTCATTTTTTTATGACACTTACTTGTCTCCATGGATAAGTTAGTTTGCCTGAAATGTTCCACAGTATTGCATTAAACATCTATCTATCTTGTATTTATTAAAAGTCCCATTGTACACTATGTTCTGATTTATGTTATAATAATATTTCCTCGTGAAAACATCCTCAGAGTTTTTTTTGTTTGTTTTTAATTTACACATGTTTAACACAAATCAGACATATTTGTGTGAATTTTTCTCTCAAACAGAAAACTCTGTTCCACCTTGTGATGCCTCTGATAATACAGGAAGTGCTCCACTGTGTTTTCCACAACTTCACTAGAATCATTTGGATGATTTCAGTCGTGGAATTGTCGATCTCTACTGAACTAAAAGTAAAAGGAGCTGTTCACTTGAAAACTACTACTTCATGACATCACAAGGTGGAACAGAGCATTTTGAGCTTTGGAGATGTAGACGATGAGGTAACATTATAACATGTGTAAAAACTCAAGAATCCATTTTCTGTAATACAGGACCTTTTTATAGGCCCCTCTCCACAGATCTGACCTGGTGCTTTTCTGTTTAGAAGAGTTCAATTCTTGCCTCACTACAGACACATTGTATAAGCAACTCTTGAGGTCAAAATAATTCCACTGTGTACTGTCTGCATCCCATTATAAAGTGTTTTATTGTCAGAGAATCAGGAAGTGTGCTGTTATATTGCTAGTCCTTCAGCCATTACTTACTTGAGGAGTAACTTTGGACCAGTTTGTAGAGTGTTTGTCCACTGACCCAAAAGTTGGCAGTTTGAATCCTGCTCTCAACGTAAAACATCACTGGCTGAGCCTCAGTGTCTATGTACACTGGTGTATGAATGTGTGAGTGTTTTTTTTGATGTAAAGATCTATGAGTGCTTTGAAGGAGGAAAAGTGATGTATAAAAATGTGACGTTTACCAACTGGTTTTGTTTTGGTTTTGAGGACAATCAGGTACAGCGCCCTTAATGCCATACTGGAGAACTTTCCAGTCAAGCAGTGTAAGCAGAAGGTGTGGGGAGAGTGCCCTCAACAGAAAAATTCCACACTGTGTCTTTAAGTTCATGATACTTACAGAGTCACAAATGGCCTGCACCTCTGGATCTGCAGGTTGGGACTCTCCAATGCCTCCGACGATGAGCTCCTGTGGAGGAAAACGCTCTATGTCTCTGATTTCCTGCTGCAAGTCGGAGATCTGGTCATCTGTGAAATCCTTAACCCCACGGAGGTCGGGCCGACTGTTGGGGTCAGGCTCTACATACAAAAACAGCTCCAGATGTTTGTTGCCACCAACATGGACCTAAAGAAGCAGAAGATTCAACGAGGAACAAAAAGTGGTGACATTATTCACAGTTGAATTTGAAATCATCTATGGTTATAACTGTGACAGAAAGAGTACGAGGGAGGCTGAGGTAAGAAGCTAGACTAAACTAGTGTTAGTGGTGACTGTCAGTTAGATAAGACACTGGTAATTCTATTTATGATTGATTTTTACTACATCATTTATATATCTGATAAAATATGTAGTTGAACATGTGTTTTTGAAAGGTAATTGTATCTTGTGTGATGAATAAGGAACAATAAAAAAGCGAGAAAGTTTCTGGTTGGACTCAGAAGTGACACCAAATTCTAGAATATGAACGCACCTTATTGATACTTCACAGCAACATCACACTGGGGGTGGTCTACATGTATCTCTAATGGGGGAATGTTTGAGGAGTCACCATGGTGACACAATGCACACATTAACAAACACAGCCAAAAAATTTTTTAAATCATCTGAAAACTCCTGTGATCAATACGAGCGTTCATGGTCCTGTTTAGGAGTTTTATTATTTTTTTTTGCCATTTTGTAATTTCATATTCCTAATATGGAACTCGGCTCCAGATTCGCTCCTATGACTGCGAGCCTCAGTGAGCTTCATTTGACTGTAACCGAATGTTTTGTGTGACGTCACACTCTCTTAGTTCACTTCTTTCTACAGTCTGAGTCTGACGAAGCCTCATACAGAGCAGAGCCTACAGTTAGCATCACACCCTCAGGGAATGTTGACGACATCAGTTGACAGTTTTCATGCTATCATGAGCTTAAGTCATACATGACATCTCCAGCTGTTTTTCATGTCAGGAATGACATGACGACATATCCACATTTGTCATATGACAGGTTTTTCTTGACATCTGTGGTGTTTTTCTATCATCATGACAAAAACTTTGCTTGAAGCACATTGCAAAATGTCATATATAAACTTAACTGTTCAAAATGAAGTTCACTGTTTAATCAACTGTAAAAAAAGATGTATCATTTTAAGTGGTATCTCCAGCTGGAGACAAAACAGCCAAAAAAAAAAAAAAAAATCAGGATCATCGCAGTTTTATATTTTGCAATGAATGTACAAGAGACAGACCCATAAGTCAAACCAAAAGAGCGGAAGAGCCTTGGGCCTTTGGCTTTAGTTATGACTTATGACCCTGAACAAGAGCACACATTATGAGGAGAACCCAGATGTCACAAAGACTGAAAAGACGTCTTCAAGTCAAAAAAAGTGAACATGGTCACCAAGCCTCTTGACACCCTAAAATACTTATATAAATTAGATTTATATTATATGTATTATATAACATTATTATGATTTGTATTTATATAATATAATTAAATATCACTATAGGAAATATAATTAGTGAATTTAAGCAGTTTTTGTAATCACGAGTGGTATATTTTAAGATAAAAGGTCTGTGTACCTAAAATGTCCTACAGTACTAAAGAAAAACAAACTCTCACCATTTGATACACTAAAGACGTGTATTACAAGGTTAAATATATGTAAAACCATTTTAACAACCTCAAGCTCTGACTTATGGAGAGAGTTTATGTGGAAAAACACCGTGAGATACTTCATTACCCCTAGAATTAAAGAACCAAGACTAAGAATGCAGAACAAGGTAAATGTTGGAGAAATTGTGGACAATCATCAGTTGGACATTTTCATATATTCTGGCAATGTCCCAAGATCGCCCCCTATTGGACAGAAATTATTAAAACCATCAAGCTTATTACAGGATTGCAGCTAGAAGAAAGTTTTAACGTGTTTTATTTGGGAAACTTACCACCCGGGCTGAAAAAAGATACTACAAGCAGCCAGCAAGAAAGTGATCACACGAAAATGGCTCCAGGACAAACCTCCTACTGTTTCAGAATGGACTTATATAATCAACGTAATTCAGATTATGGAACGAACAACATTTTCTTTAAGACACTCCTCAGACAAAGGAGAACTATATTGGAAAATGTGGAAATCTTACAGTCAAAACAAAACTTAATGTAAAAATGTTTTATACATCTTAGCAAATGTCACTAGCTATGTTATTTATATATATATATATTTTTTTTTTTGTTTCCTTTTTTGGTCGGTCTTTTGATTTATTTTGTTTCACAATACTAATAATTTGTTTATGTAAATATGTGATATGTGATATACATAACTAAAATGACCTAATAAAACAAAGTTTAAAAAAATAAAACAATTGTAGAAACTGACCTTGACAAAGTAGTTGTATCCATATACAGTTTGTTGTTTGTAGGATATGGCTCTGAAAGTCTCATATTTCTCTCCTCTCTGCGCCTCCACTTCACTCTTCACCTAAACAACAGCACAAGATTCACTCCCACTCAAACACTTAAAGGTGCTTCATGGAACTTTACTAGTTTTTTTTTTTTTTACTTAAGTTAATGCTTTTGCTGTGCCTGATTTTCATTTGAAACAGTTTGCAGTGATCCAAAGTTATTCCTCACTTACCTTCTGCATTCAGAGCACCCTAATTATTCATCATGATGAGTTTATACGAGGTTGCCTCTCCTACAGATCTGACCTGATGTGTCAACAGAAAAGTTCCACAGTGTAGCTTTAAGTTCATGATACTTACAGAGTCACACAGGGCCTGCACCTCTGGGTCTGCAGGTTGGGACTTTCCGATGCCTCCAGTCATGAGCTCAGGCTCAGGATATTCAGGCATCATTATTTCCTGTCTTGGGGGAAAGTAACATATGAACGGCTCTATAAATCCGCCTTCCTGCTCCAAGTTGTCTTTGGACTCATGAACACTTTGGAGGACTGGCCCACTGTTGGTGTGAGGCAGCCCCACAAACACAACCAGCTCCAGATGTTTGTTCTGCCCAATGTGGACCTAAAGAAGCAGAAGATCAAGGAGGATCAGAGAGTGGCAGTTCAGCTCATCTTCCAATTCTTATTAAACTTTCATGTTATAACCATAGATCTGTGCTTATAAACTTGTTGGCTTTAAACAACTGCAATCTGTTTTTAACATGACACATGCTGTCGCTTAAAAAAGAGAGGAAATTGTAAACATCATTGTTTTCAACCAACTGATGAACCAGGAAGTGACATGACACTGAACAATATAGATGAACTTTATAGCTGAACTTTAAGCTCTATAGGAGCTTAAGATTCTTATTGTCAAAATATCATCAGAATATTGTCTTTGGGTTAATAAAAAATAAAACAATTGTAGGAACTGACCTTGACAGTGTAGTTGGTTCCAGCTACAACTTGTGTCCTGTAGGATATGGCTTCAAAAGTCTCATATTTCTCTCCTCTCTTCTCCTCCACATCTCTCTTCACCTGAACAACAGCACAAGATTCACTCATAATACAGAAGGTCATTTTTTTATGACACTTACTTGTCTCCATGGATAAGTTAGTTTGCCTGAAATGTTCCACAGTATTGCATTAAACATCTATCTATCTTGTATTTATTAAAAGTCCCATTGTACACTATGTTCTGATTTATGTTATAATAATATTTCCTCGTGAAAACATCCTCAGAGTTTTTTTTGTTTGTTTTTAATTTACACATGTTTAACACAAATCAGACATATTTGTGTGAATTTTTCTCTCAAACAGAAAACTCTGTTCCACCTTGTGATGCCTCTGATAATACAGGAAGTGCTCCACTGTGTTTTCCACAACTTCACTAGAATCATTTGGATGATTTCAGTCGTGGAATTGTCGATCTCTACTGAACTAAAAGTAAAAGGAGCTGTTCACTTGAAAACTACTACTTCATGACATCACAAGGTGGAACAGAGCATTTTGAGCTTTGGAGATGTAGACGATGAGGTAACATTATAACATGTGTAAAAACTCAAGAATCCATTTTCTGTAATACAGGACCTTTTTATAGGCCCCTCTCCACAGATCTGACCTGGTGCTTTTCTGTTTAGAAGAGTTCAATTCTTGCCTCACTACAGACACATTGTATAAGCAAGCTCTTGAGGTCAAAATAATTCCACTGTGTACTGTCTGCATCCCATTATAAAGTGTTTTATTGTCAGAGAATCAGGAAGTGTGCTGTTATATTACTAGTCCTTCAGCCATTACTTACTTGAGGAGTAACTTTGGACCAGTTTGTAGAGTGTTTGTCCACTGACCCAAAAGTTGGCAGTTTGAATCCTGCTCTCAACGTAAAACATCACTGGCTGAGCCTCAGTGTCTATGTACACTGGTGTATGAATGTGTGAGTGTTTTTTTTGATGTAAAGATCTATGAGTGCTTTGAAGGAGGAAAAGTGATGTATAAAAATGTGACGTTTACCAACTGGTTTTGTTTTGGTTTTGAGGACAATCAGGTACAGCGCCCTTAATGCCATACTGGAGAACTTTCCAGTCAAGCAGTGTAAGCAGAAGGTGTGGGGAGAGTGCCCTCAACAGAAAAATTCCACACTGTGTCTTTAAGTTCATGATACTTACAGAGTCACAAATGGCCTGCACCTCTGGATCTGCAGGTTGGGACTCTCCAATGCCTCCGACGATGAGCTCCTGTGGAGGAAAACGCTCTATGTCTCTGATTTCCTGCTGCAAGTCGGAGATCTGGTCATCTGTGAAATCCTTAACCCCACGGAGGTCGGGCCGACTGTTGGGGTCAGGCTCTACATACAAAAACAGCTCCAGATGTTTGTTGCCACCAACATGGACCTAAAGAAGCAGAAGATTCAACGAGGAACAAAAAGTGGTGACATTATTCACAGTTGAATTTGAAATCATCTATGGTTATAACTGTGACAGAAAGAGTACGAGGGAGGCTGAGGTAAGAAGCTAGACTAAACTAGTGTTAGTGGTGACTGTCAGTTAGATAAGACACTGGTAATTCTATTTATGATTGATTTTTACTACATCATTTATATATCTGATAAAATATGTAGTTGAACATGTGTTTTTGAAAGGTAATTGTATCTTGTGTGATGAATAAGGAACAATAAAAAAGCGAGAAAGTTTCTGGTTGGACTCAGAAGTGACACCAAATTCTAGAATATGAACGCACCTTATTGATACTTCACAGCAACATCACACTGGGGGTGGTCTACATGTATCTCTAATGGGGGAATGTTTAGGAGTCACCATGGTGACACAATGCACACATTAACAAACACAGCCAAAAAATTTTTTAAATCATCTGAAAACTCCTGTGATCAATACGAGCGTTCATGGTCCTGTTTAGGAGTTTTATTATTTATTTTTTGCCATTTTGTAATTTCATATTCCTAATATGGAACTCGGCTCCAGATTCGCTCCTATGACTGCGAGCCTCAGTGAGCTTCATTTGACTGTAACCGAATGTTTTGTGTGACGTCACACTCTCTTAGTTCACTTCTTTCTACAGTCTGAGTCTGACGAAGCCTCATACAGAGCAGAGCCTACAGTTAGCATCACACCCTCAGGGAATGTTGACGACATCAGTGCATATGACAGGTTTTCATGTTTTTCTAATCATGACTTTGTTTGCTGCTTAAGTCAAAAATAAAACAACTGTAAAAAAGATGACTTTTTTAGGTATCTCCAGCTGAGGCATCATTTTAATGCAAATGTCAGACCCCAAAACCAAAAGAGCGATGCCTTGATTGGGCTTTTTTATAGACGTGTGTAAAGGAAAACTTACTAAAAAACATATCTCCTCCACATACCTTGTCCTACAGTCAAGAAAAACAAACTCTACCATATACATTGGTTAAATATATGTAAAACCATTTTAACAACCTCAAGCTCTGACTTATGGAGAGAGTTTATGTGGAAAAACACCGTGAGATACTTCATTACCCCTAGAATTAAAGAACCAAGACTAAGAATGCAGAACAAGGTAAATGTTGGAGAAATTGTGGACAATCATCAGTTGGACATTTTCATATATTCTGGCAATGTCCCAAGATCGCCCCCTATTGGACAGAAATTATTAAAACCATCAAGCTTATTACAGGATTGCAGCTAGAAGAAAGTTTTAACGTGTTTTATTTGGGAAACTTACCACCCGGGCTGAAAAAAGATACTACAAGCAGCCAGCAAGAAAGTGATCACACGAAAATGGCTCCAGGACAAACCTCCTACTGTTTCAGAATGGACTTATATAATCAACGTAATTCAGATTATGGAACGAACAACATTTTCTTTAAGACACTCCTCAGACAAAGGAGAACTATATTGGAAAATGTGGAAATCTTACAGTCAAAACAAAACTTAATGTAAAAATGTTTTATACATCTTAGCAGATGTCACTAGCTATGTTATTTATATATATATATATATTTTTTTTGTTTCCTTTTTTGGTCGGTCTTTTGATTTATTTTGTTTCACAATACTAATAATTTGTTTATGTAAATATGTGATATGTGATATACATAACTAAAATGACCTAATAAAACAAAGTTTAAAAAAATAAAACAATTGTAGAAACTGACCTTGACAAAGTAGTTGTATCCATATACAGTTTGTTTCTTGTAGGATATGGCTCTGAAAGTCTCATATTTCTCTCCTCTCTGCGCCTCCACTTCACTCTTCACCTAAACAACAGCACAAGATTCACTCCCACTCAAACACTTAAAGGTGTTTCATGGAACTTTACTAGTTTTTTTTTTTTTTTACTTAAGTTAATGCTTTTGCTGTGCCTGATTTTCATTTGAAACAGTTTGCAGTGATCCAAAGTTATTCCTCACTTACCTTCTGCATTCAGAGCACCCTAATTATTCATCATGATGAGTTTATACGAGGTTGCCTCTCTACAGATCTGACCTGATGTGTCAACAGAAAAGTTCCACAGTGTAGCTTTAAGTTCATGATACTTACAGAGTCACACAGGGCCTGCACCTCTGGGTCTGCAGGTTGGGACTTTCCGATGCCTCCAGTCATGAGCTCAGGCTCAGGATATTCAGGCATCATTATTTCCTGTCTTGGGGGAAAGTAACATATGAACGGCTCTATAAATCCGCCTTCCTGCTCCAAGTCGTCTTTGGACTCATGAACACTTTGGAGGACTGGCCCACTGTTGGTGTGAGGCAGCCCCACAAACACAACCAGCTCCAGATGTTTGTT